CGAGACCCTAGAGTCACTAGCTAATGCCCGGTTCTTCTCCACCTTAGACCTAGCATCAGGTTATTGGCAAGTCGAAGTCCACTCAGACGATAAGGAGAAAACTGCGTTTGTGGTTCCCTCCGGGTTATACGAGTTTTATACCATGCCGTTCGGTCTAACTAACGCCCCAGCGACGTTCCAGCGCCTGATGCAAACGGTGCTATCCGGCCTGATACCGGGGGAGTGCTTAGTCTACCTGGACGACATTATTGTGTACAGCAGAACCTTCGAAGAGCACCTGAGAGGCTAACAGGCAGCTTTTGAAAAGCTCAAGTCCGTGGGACTGAATTTGAAACGTCTAAGTGCCAACTCTTGCGCTCGAAAGTAAACTACTTGAGGCACCTCATCAGCAGCGAAGGCGTACAGACAAACCCCGATAAAATTGCGAAGATCGTTAGCTAGCTAACCCCTAGCAACGTAGAGGAAGTACGCAGCTTCGTGGGCCTGGCGTCGTATTACATACGATTCGTGAAAGCCTTCGTCCGGACTGCCGCCCGTTGCACCAGTTGGTCGAGAAGGGGAGACGTTTTGCTTGGACGGACGAATGCCACACTACCTTCGAGACCCCAAAGGAGACCCTGACTAAGGCCCCGGTATTGGCTCCACCAGACATCTCTCAGGGTGCCGAACCGTTCATCCTAGACACGGATGCAAGTGACGTGGGTATAGGCGCCGTCCTATCCCGGCTAAAGGATGGACAGAAGCGAGTCATAGCCTTCGGGAGTCGCTGCATGAACAAGCACGAGCGCAACTACTGCACTACCCGAAAGGAAATGTTAGCACTAGTTTAATTCTTGAAGTATTTCCGACACTACTTGCTGGGTAAAGAGTTCATGGTACGTACGGACCACCAGGCACTAGTTTGGCTCCGAAACTTCAAGGACGCAACTGGACAGACTGCTCGCTGGCAAGATGCCATGCAAGAGTACAACTTCAGGTGCGTCCACCGGGCCGGAACTAGCCACTGCAATGCAGACGCCTTATCGAGAAGACCTTGTCGACCGCATGGCGATTGCCCAACATGCTGCGGCGTCCATACGGCGGCAATTTCGTTGCAAGCGGCACAATCCGACCTCTGGAAGAAACGGCAAGTCGAAGACCCCGAGCTGGGGTTGATCTATAAACGCATAGCGGAAAACGGTCGAAAGCCAACTCGAGAAGAAATGAAAGGCAGTAGTTGGGAAACCATGTGTTTATGGAGTTTATGGGAACACCTGTTGTTACTGGATGGTATCTTGTATTTCCAACACGGCCCTGCGTACAACCGGAGAGTAGTCGTGCCCCAGTCAGTAGTGCCAAAGGTAACGACAGAACTGCTTCGAGAGCTGGGGCACGCGGGGCAAAGGAAAATGATCGCCGCGGTCAGGCAACGTTTCTGGTGGCCACACCAAGTCCGAGACATGGTCAATTTCTGTAACAGCTGCCAGCTTTGCTTGCAGTTCAAACCCCCGAGGACCACTAACCGGGCTCCCCTGACCCCGATGACGGCGTGTTTCCCAAAACGAGAGACTGGAAGTGGACATAATCGGACCCCTCCCTGAAACCCGTAAAGGTAATCGGTACATAGTAGTCATGGTAGACTACTTTACCAAGTGGTGCAAAGCGGATGCAATTAACAAGGCAGACGCAGCCACGGTAGCTCGAACGAACTGTAACACCTGGATAGCCCGGTGGGGTGCACCTTTGTACGTGCACACAGACCAAGCGCCAATTTCGAAGGTATTTTAATGGCTGAGCTCTGTCAAGCCTTGGGTATCAAAAAGACCCGTACGACACCTTATCATCCTCAAGTAAACGGGCTAGTCGAGCGGACTAATCGCACCTTGAAGGGACTATTGAAAGCCTTCGTCAATCGTCAGAGCACCCGTCATTGGGACTCCGCCCTACCTCTCTGTCTACTAGCTTACCGGGCCACCATCCAGTCGTCCACAAGTCAAACTCCTCATTTCATGATCACTGGTCGGAAGAAGAGACTACCAATCGACTTGACCACACCCAACGCCGCCGAGACGCCGCTAACCTCGACCGAATACGTGATGAATCTCAGGAGAACGCTGATCGAAGGTCACCACTTGGCGCGTTCACATATCCAGACGTCACAACGGCAACAAGAAGAGTACTACTACAGAAAGGCGCAGGGTGCATCGCTACAGCCAGGTGAACAAGTATGGGTGAAGAAATCAACGATAAGGCCAGGTATGCCCACGAAGTTCACGGATGAATGGACCGGACCGTTCGTCGTAGTCGAGGTATTGAGCCCAAGTATGTGTGGTGTAACCAAGGCGAGGACGGACCCTGAACGTGAGAGCATTTTTGTACACTTCAGCTCGCTAAAGCCGGTAGCCCCCGTCGTCGCAAGAGCGCCACCTACGCCAGAAAATCTTTCGGTCGCCCAAGAAGTAGAAATAACGGCCGAAGGGCTGAGGATAGCCCTCCCAGAAGAGGGGCCTGTGTAATGACCCTGTATACTTAACATTTCTCTCTCTTTTCTGCATTCCAGATGCCCTGACCCACAACCCCGACCAGTCCGTTGACNAGTCTGAGTACGAACTACAACAACTGGCGTCGCGGTCATTTTGAACCAATAGAGTGTAATGACCCTGTATACTTGACATTTCTCTCTCTTTTCTGCATTCCAGATGCCCTGACCCACAACCCCGACCAGTCCGTTGACGAAACCAACACACGAACTTGCAACCCCCGTGATGACCTTGACCCTCCTATTGTATATAAATACTCAGACTGTCCCCCCTTTTTTGACTTTCGCTTCCGGTTTTGTACATCTGCATATGCTTCTGTGACAATACACTTTGGCCGCCCTCGACTTCGTCTTCTGCTCGACCGACCGTTACATAACCGCTGTTGCCGTCGCCGCTTGTCTGTGACCAACTATTCTGTTGACCATTTCAGCCCCAGGCTGGATTCCTGTAATTTGGAGAACTTGAATATCCATGCCAGTGCGCGCGAAGTCGA